AAATTTAAACTTATGTGATTTTTTATTCTCATTAATTATAGATAAGTTATATATTATTTATTATTATATCACTTTTTTTAATTTTAAATTCAACTATATGATTCACGAAGTCCAAAATAAGAGTTTTATTTTTCAAAAAGAATGATGGACGAATAAATTAATAAATTATTTAATTATTTAGAGTTCTTTCATAACTTTGTAATTCCAATTAGTTTGAATTAATTTGAATAAACTTTAATTATTTTGTTAAGAAAGGAAAATTAAAGGATGTGGTGAGAGATATTTGTTAAGAGTAAATTGGTAATTTTAAATTTATATTTTAATATTTGGTCCTTCCAAATAAATACAGTTTTTAAGATGTTTCCTCATAAATATTGTTATCACCAAGTCCTTCTCCCTAATTTCCCCGAGGAACAAAAAGAAAACTAGCTAATTCCAGGAACTGAATCGCCAAATCAGCAAATCCCCCATGGCCGGCTGGGTGGGATCAAAAACCATATCCAAACAACGTGATGCGAGGCACGTGTGACACTCTTTAGAAAACATAAAATAAAAAGTTCGGAATTTCGTTAACGCCCGCGCTTTTTAGTTTTCATTTTTTTAAAATAAAAAACACATTTTTAATAGAACCGCCCTTTGCTCCTTCTTCCTTCATGGAACGCCCTTTTGACCGCCAAGGACGCTCCCATTTTCGTACTCTTTATTGTATTTCCCGCCAATTTCCTTTTCCCGCCAACTCATTAGTGGACCTCACATGCAGAGCCAACATTAATCAATAAATACTCCTCCGATCCTTAATATAAAATCCATTTAACTAATTTGATTAGATTAAAAAATTTAGATAAGTTAGTTAATTATAAAAAACGTATCACGTTTTTCTTAAAATATCATAATAATCTTTTTTAATACTTCATCTTCCTCTTTTACTTGATTATGGTTGAGGGAGTATCCATAGGAGTAATTAAAAAAAATTAATAAATATAAAAAATAGGTCTTATATTTAGGATCAAAATCAACTCAACAATTGGATCCTATATTAAGGACCGGAGGAGTATTTTTTTTTTTCAAACATGATGGTTTATTTCCCGGGCAAAAACTCTTTATATTAATATTACTGATAAATATGTAAGCCTCTTATGTATAAAGGGGTCTAGTTATTAATTAATATAAACTAGTATATCTTTTATGTGTTTAGAATATATGTTTATAATCATGGTCAGAAATGGATACTATATGTTTATCCTACCTCCGGTGGTAAGGTTTAGGATCGGAAATAGTAATATTTATCTTGTATATATACACAAATGAAATCATTATTTCAAAAGACTGTTAAATATTTTTAAATGTGATAATGATATTTAACTGATAAAATTTTTATATAGTTTTTTGGTGATAAAAATTTATATATATAACTAGTGAATGCTACATTTTTTTGAATCTAGAAATTTTTTTGATAGAAATCAGCCAATATCTTCTAATTGATAGATAGAGACTAATCTTCTCATGGCTTTTTTTATGCATATGGCTTGGTTTGAACTTAGAGTGTTATGTTTAAAGAATCCAGCTATCTACTAACTATGCTTAGCTTTGTTGATGAGCTTAGAAATTTTATTAACACCTCTAATTGACTAATTTAGAGATGTTAAAAAAACTAAGTAAGTTATTTGATTATAAGATATGTTATATTATTTTTGTAAAATATTTATGTATATCATGAGATGAGACATTGGTTTACAAGTAAGATAAATTAGTTTAAAAAATAATAAATATAAATACTTTAAAGTAATTTATTTAATTTTATTAATTTCTACAAATTAATCAATTAAATCTTATATTAAATGCTGGAAATAGTATTTTGTATTTTTGAATGAATTTTATTATATTAATCATATAACAGCAACCTTATAATTTAGCGACATGAAAATTTTTTTATAAATTAGATGTCACATAGGCTATCAATTCACACTTATTTAATTCAAGAATAATATTTACATAAAAAAATTTATTTATTATTTTTAATCTATTTTTTTAAAAATTAATTTTACATAATTTAATTATTTATCTAATTTTTTTATTTGCGTGATTTAAATATTTATTTATTTAAAACTCATGAGAAAAATCTGACAAGTCACAATACGTTGCTGCTTTGAGTCAAGGTGGACCCACTTCTTTTTCTCCCAATCAATTGCCTTATTTATTCTGACAAGAGCGGATGGGAATTGGGAAATGAGTACGAGAGCCACTTCATCACTTTCGCGCAGTTTCCCTCGCGCCGAATCGAAATTACTTAAAGGGCACACTTGTCATTTCGAATTAGTTTGTTCTGATCGGCATACTTCACGAAATTTGCTCATTGAACCGGCTCTTAAAATAGTACTTTTTTTAATATAAAATTTATTTAACTAATTTAATTAAATTAAAAAAGTTAGATAAATTAGTTAATTATAAGATACTCCTTCGGTTTTTAATATAGGATCCAATTGTTGAGTTGATTTTGGTCCTAAATATAAGATTCATTTCTTATATTTATCAATTTTATCTAAACTACTCCATGGATACTCCTTCAACCATAATCAAGAAGAAGAGGGAGATAGAGTATTAAGAAAGATGATTATGGTATTTTAGGAAAAATGTGTCACTTTTCTTATAATTAACTAACTTGTCTAACTTCCTTAATCTAATCAAATTAATTAAATGGGTCTTATATTAAAGATCGAAGAATATATTACATGTTTTTTCTACAACACCATAATAATCTTCCATAATATCCTCTCTTCCTTTTCTACTTGATGTTGAGGGAGTATCTATAGGAGTAATTTAGGAAAATTGATGAATATAAGAAATAGATCTTATATTTAGGATCAAAATCAACTTAATAATTAGATCCTATATCAAGGCTCGGAAGAGTAGATTGTTCAACTTGATAAACTTTATAGAGTATTATATATTAACATTGTAGTACTGATATATTCACATAATATTGAATTATGGACGAATAATCTCATTATTTTTTAAAAATTAATAATGAATCTGCTTAAACTTTTAATCCCGTGTGGCTTCAGCTAGGTACTACATTAAATACCTCCTTTAAATTTTGAGTTATATGCATATAAAGTATAACCCCCCTAGATGTTAAAATATATTTATATAAGTATTCAACAAAATCAATAAAATAAGAGTTGCCTGTATACATATAAGAGTTTAGGAAATTTATTATAAAGTTTTAAAGTTTAAGGAAATTATTTATAAGTAACATAAAGTTTATGGGAGTTATATATAATTTTTCATTTTTATAAATTTAATTAATTTAAAACTAAATTTACATATATTGGATGATGTATGTTAAGAAAATTAAAACTAATTAGTCCTTCTTTAGGTATCAAATAAATTAAAATAATAAGGATATGGAACTAGATTAAGTTTCATATCATGATATCAATCAAGTAAAGAAAAAAATTTCAACGAAAATCAATCAAATAAAATAAATATGATGTAAAGACGGCAAAAATAAATAAATAAATAAGATGGGAAAAAACTCAGAAACGGGGGAATATTTCTATTATAAAAAAAAATTCTACTTTTGACGCGCTCTTGTTTTATTTGGCATCCGCACTACATGACCGCCTTTGCAAGGAATCTACGGGGCAGCGGTACTATTCCTGATCTTTTTTCATATGGAATATTTTAAAATATAAAAAATTTAAATTATTAAATACAACCAAAACTTTTAGATTTTTGCGGATAAACTAACAATATTTTAACGAAAAATAGAATATTAATTTTGAAAAATTGCATATTTAATATTTCAATCTTATAACTCTCATCTAATTAAGAAAATATTAATATTAACAAAATATTTTAAAATGTGGATATATTAATATAATTGGATTTTTAAAATAATAATAATTATCACAAAAATATTCAGAGAGTAAAGTTGAAATTAAAAGATTGAAAAGATATTTTATAAAATTTAAAAATATAAATTAAAATTTTAAAATATAAAAGTAGAGACCAGCGGTACATCAGTTAAACGATGCGAAAAATTTAACTAAATATAAAATGGGTTAATTCTCTATACATGATTCAAAATCTGAGAATGGCCAACACGCCGGCGGACAACGTATCATAATTTTTATATTTAGCTATTTTGCTAACACTAAAAGACAATATTTCCCATTCTAAAAATATTATTAATTAAAATTCACCAAGAAAAATTATTAATTAAAATATTATAAAGAAAGACAATTGACAAAAATTAAAAGTTATTATGAAAGATTGTTTTAGAGGCACTGACCTTTTCTCTCAATTCTTAAATTGATATTTTTTTAAACTAAATTTTAAATTTTATTTTGTTAGCAGCTTTAACATCTATACACAATAGTTAAAAATGCCAGTAAAGCAAAATTATTGGGTTAAGAAATTAAAAATTGAGAATTTCCTACAATTAATCTCTTCTTTAGAGAAGGCAGAAATTCTAAAATTTTATAATTCATGATCAATTCATTTAATATTTCCTTTTTTTGAGAAATTTTTTTTATATTTAAATTATGTGTCGGATGTGCAAATACCCTATCCTATCTATCTGGAAGTTAATAATTATAATATAATATAAAAATGTAAATAAAAACATTTTAAAGATAATTTTTTCAACTCTGGGGAGCATAGGTGACTCTGATGTCATGATGTATCGTTTTGTCGATTAATAAATTATCTTTTATCGCACAAAAACTATTTCTGAACTTATATATGCATTTATTTTATCCAGATAAGCATTTTTTAAAAAAATTAATTTAATTTAATTTTGTTTGGGAGTTCGATAAAGATCAAAGAGGCACCCTCATTGAGATGAACAAGGAAACTTTTTTAAAATCCATATCTTAATAAATAAATATAAGAATTTAAAAAGGCACGTCATCGAACAAAGAAAAATTGAAAAGGCACTTGGAAAAAAGGAAAAAAAGAACCGCCATAGACCAAGCCGGCTATAAACAAAAATCAAACCCTAGTGGAGATTGGCGCCGCTCTTCTCCTCCACGTCGTCGTCTTCCTCGTTTTCTTCTTTTTCTTCTCTCTCTGAACAATCTTCGTCTTCTTCGTCTCACTGAAAACTCTCTCTCTCTCTCTCTCTCCTGTGTCTCTATCTCTATTTATCTCTTCGCTGTTTTTCTGTTTAGATCTGCTCAGGTTCTGAGCTTTTTCCAAGTCGTTGTTTCGGAATCGACATGGTGGTGAATGAAAGGCCGTCGAAGAGGATGAAGAGGAGAGTTTCAGCCGATCTTTATGATTTTCTCACTTTTCCGGCCGCCGATGACCGCTGCTGCGACGATATGGTCGGTGGCGGTCAACCGTTCCGGAAAACCGTTCAGCGGTTTCTTACTAATTATGCGATGGTCACCTATCCCCCGTCGTTATTTTCCTCCTTGATGACGTGGCAGATATTGTTCCGGATCGGAGGACTCGTCGATGGGTCCGATCTTTCGCCGGCTATTGTTACTCTCGACATTGTGGAGGAGGACGTTACTCGATCTCGAACCTCAGTCTACTGTGATCAGTGCCGAGTTGTTGGTGAGTCGACTCACTGAGTCCGTGTGTCCGAGTTCAAAAGGATCTGCCTGCTTGGCGGATTGTTAATTGATAGTTATGGTACCGAACCATTAGATATTTAGTTGTGAACTAGAGATTTTTCTTTGAGCACAATTATGAACCTTGTCGTGGGACAGAACCTCGCTGAGTAACGAGTCGGAAGACTGATTGATCCGTGTGAAAAGAGACTAAAAATAAATCTTATTCCCTGTTATCTAAATTATGTAATTATGTAATTAATTAATAATTAACTGGTATCAGTTATTTAATAATTATTTAAGTGGTGGGTAAGAAATGAGGGGGGATATTTGTGGCTGTTATTCTTTTCTTTTTCTTTTTTTTTTTTGTGGGTAACAAGGCTATTATTCTGATATTGACTTTTATTCTGACTTTTTTGTTGGCAAAAAATGAAGGCTGGAGTGGCCATCCTGTTTGCCGAAAGCGATATCACTTCATTATCCGAGCTTCAAATAATCACATGGAAGCATACGAAAGACCTTGCTCATTATGTGGGAAATCTACCCGATTATCGGAGCCAAGGTGAGCTCGAATACTATTCTGTTTTAGCTTTTTACGAAAATGGAGTCTTCTTTTTCAAGTCATCAGAACGAATTGTCAGTCTTTTTTATCTCTGTGAAAGGCATATTTTTATTTTGGGTTCTTATTTGCATATATTGAATGTGGCAGGTGTAAATGGTGTGATGCGGAGATTACTGTTCAAGATCTCGAGGATTGGGTGTATGGTCAAATTGAAGATAACACCCATCTTCTGCACGGGATTGTCCACTCCAATGGTTATGGCCATTTGCTTACACTTAATGGAAGAGAGGGTGGTTCAAGGCTTCTCTCTGGGTCTGACATAATGAGTTTCTGGGATAGGCTTTGCGCTGCACTTGCTGTTAGGTTTGCATCCTCCGTTTCTCACGGCACATATTTTTAGATTTACTGTTTGTTTTTCAGTGAAGAATCTGATTATGAAAGAAATATGAACAGGAAAGTTAGTGTGATGGATTTGTCAAAGAAATTTGGGATGGAATACCGATTGCTTCATGCAATCATCAATGGGTGTTCTTGGTATGGGAATTGGGGTTATGAATTTGGGACTGGTAGCTATGCTCTCACTCAAGATTCGTACCAAAAAGCAGTGAATACCCTGTCAAGCATGCCCCTGTCGGATTTATTATTCCAGGATCGTGGGCCCCGAAGTCGCTGGCAGTGTGTTATTTCTCTTTATCAATCGTTGGCAGATGCTGAACTGTTAACGATCAAAGATCTGTTCTCCTTTTTAACGTCCTTAATTCGTGAGTTCCACAAGCCTCTGACGACAAGAACAACGAGTGCTGAAACTTGCAACGTGTTGTGTGCTTGGTCAAGCAAAGACGTTGAAGCTGTGCAACAGGCCTTGATCAAGGTACTGCTTGCGTCGGCTGCCTCTAGCGGGGCCAAATGGGTGACAAGACGAGCTCTCAAGGGTGCATTAAGTAGGAGTGTTGCGTCTCCAGAGCTTCTGGATTACAGTCTGAAATATCTGGGCGGAAAGTTAGCTGCCTATGGTATGGTGGTTAGGTCAAGATGCAATCCCTCATCCAGTGCTGTTGAGTTCAGGTAAGATCTAGATTTTATTTGTCCTGCTTCTGTCTTTTGTTAGTCGCTTTTACATACAATTACTAAAACATTTGATCTTATCTTGAACGAACAGGCTTGAAGCCTCGAATGTTATGGAAATTGAAGCTGGCACGAATTCAGGATATCCATCGAAAGAGCAAGTGATTGATGATTTGAGATTCTTGCTTGATTCGATTATTCATCCTGAAAGGATGGCAAGCTACAGGCCGAAGACGACGAGGAAGCGGGTGGCTGATTCAGCGAGGAAGCTCCTTGACTGCAAGCAGTTCATGAAGGATTACAGGCCTGATAATAACACGGCAGGTGAGCAAGTGCCTCCATGTATTAGGCTGTGGTGTCGCGTGGAGCTTTCCGATCAGCCAAAAGAAGATCCAGCCCCTCCCCCAGAACTGATTTTGCTGCCCTTGAATGCTACCGTAGCTGACCTCAAGAATGAGGCGACTACTACTTTTCAAGAAGTGTATGCCATGTATAAGAGGTTTCAAGCTGAGGAACTTCTGGAATATGGGTCTATCAAGGACAATCTCACAGTAAAGTTACTGCTTGGAACAAGTGGATCTGTCCGAGTTTTAGGTAAATGCCATGCAAAACATGGCCTAAACCGCTTCCGAATGGAAAGAGGGACAGAGACGTGGAAGGTTGATTGCCCTTGTGGGGCTAAGGACGATGATGGGGAGAAAATGTTGGCATGTGATACTTGCGGTGTTTGGCAACATACAAGGTGTGCTGGAATTGAGAATTCCATTGCTGTCCCTTCTAAGTTCGTTTGCATGAGATGCATCAGATCATACCGGAAGGAGGCCAAGAAACTGCCTGACCCCATTGAACAAAAAAACCTCCCTATGGATGAGGCAAAAATCCACCCCGTGAATGAAGCCAAAAACCAGCCTGTCGATGGAGGAAAAGACTACCATGTGGATGAAATAAACATAAGTTGGAAACAGAACACCTCTATTGATGAAGCAAGAACCCCCAGTAAAGCAACAACGTCGTGCAGGGGTGAGGTAGTGGCAGCAGACAGTCCTGCAGTTGCTTGTAACCTGGCTCTGAATTTTGGTGTTCGCTGAGTGTATAGTGTATGCCTGTATGTTGTACAGTAGGTTAGGATTTTTTTTTGAAAAAAAAACGTGTGGTGCCATGTATCTGGGGGTTGGTATTTTGTTGTTAAGCCTCTGGTTTTAGAGTTTAACTTGTGTTAGCATTAGGTAAGACTAGGACGGGGACCAAAACGAGATGAAAAAAAGAACATGCTTAACATTGTGTATCCATCAGCCTCTAGAATCTAAAACGTGAATGTGCTGCCAATACAATGAGCTACTATTTCTCCTCCTTTGCCTGCGAAGCTTCTTTGGTGGTTTTATTCTCACTAATTGGTTCTCTTTCAAGCATAACCCCTGCTCCTTGTGATTCTAGACGACGGAGCATGGGTTCTTTGTCTGATGTTGGCAGGTTGTTGATAAGTCTGCAGAGGGTTGTGTACTTGGCAACTACCTCTTTGTAGATAGTTAGCAATCTGTCCACATCTTTCAATGTCATCTCATCGCTCTTTGCCTCCAGATATGGATATTCCGATACTTGTAGGGGCGTAGCTGCGAGAATGAAGTGTTACGAGTCAGCACCAGCTGCCTTTTATGGCATAAAAAAGGCAAATAAGGAATCGAACATGCTCTATGACACAAGGGCATAATTAACAGGAATTAAGTAACAAAAGTTGATTACCACATGGACCTTAAGGCAAATATTGCACTAGCATAATTATTATTTATTTAGTCTGCAGTTTTGTGACGTGTGCGCTTTCGCAATCTGGGGCACAACAAAAATAATGTTCTTTCTTTCCCCCGGGGGGGGGGGGGGATAACGACTGAATTCTTCAACATCAATGCAGTATTCCTTAAAATCTGATGGATCCCTATATTTTTAATAATGCCTGATATTGAATTTAGAGAGGCAGAACAGAGGTGGATGAAAAGATCAAGTACACTACATATATGTTTCTTCTCTAACATCATGTTGATCTTAATTTGGGCGACCAAGTTGATAATACATATATCGATAAAAAATGCAAACTAACCTGTTACAGGGCTGCCATGAATTTCCTTCGAAGGACTGCACCCAGTCTGGCCATGTTGGTTTGTCTGGTTCGTTTGTATCACTGGACAGGCTCCATCAGTGACTTTAGTAGTCGATTTTGCCACTTGCATGTTCTCCTCAAATTCGATTTCATCCATTGAAAGTGATGTAGCATTTAGATCAATTATAAATGACTTGGCTGACACCAGATTTGTGAAATAATATTCAGGCTCTGATATGAGCTTTGCTTGCCTTCGATACAATTGGATGAATTTGAGGTTTGATTGCAATTGAGGAGGATTTGCCTGATATATATCAGATGAAGAATCTCAATTATTCATATTCAGCCACCCCAAATAATTAAAAACAACAATACTTTTACAAGCCAGAGAAACAAAATTGAAAGGCAGAATGTTAGAGAGGAACGGAGACTAAAATTTGATGGAACTCAACTCAAAAACCAATTCCAAACCTATAGGAAAAATAAGAATGGAAGGTGGGCTGAAATGGGAATCACCGGAGAAGAGGACAAGAAGATTGTTGGTTCTGGCGAGTGAACAAATAATATATTCACCTCAAGATCAACTAGCTATATTTTGGTTATGTACAAATCATTTGATTGTTTTACCAGACTATGATATATTTGTTACTTTATTATCTTGATAGATCATTTAGATCATTCTTCCTCTTTTCAAGGGAATCCATTTCTTTATCAATTTGTTTTTCACATCAATCAATGAATAAAGCAAGCACAGACGATTATAATAGCCCCACTAAAATTACTGATGATCTTAAAAAGTGGATGCAGCTAGAGTGTCTTCGAAGAGAAGAGCCATGAATTAGTTTGAAAGACAGAAAATAAGGCAGCCAGGGCACCCAAGGGTGGAGTCCAAGGTCTCGATTTATTCATTACTTTCATCACTTCCAACTAGAAGTGTATGAAATTTGGATGCCCCTCAAGAAAGAATGGCAAGTTTGCGACTACAGAGAGCATTTTGAGTAGTTGACAAACCCTTTGAAAGATTCTACTCTTATGGTACTAAAAGAGGAGCTTTTAAGGATGGGCTGAAGCAAGAAATCTAGACTATGATGAGGATGCACAGAGCCAAAAGACTACAGGAATTGATGAAACACACGGGGTTGCTGAGAGAAACATGATCTAAAAGTTTCCATTAGGGCCAAAATGGGCTGAATCACCCAGCCCTAGCAAGGGTCAACACACCTAAAAGAAAAGAGTCTACTGCCAAGTGTTACAAAATCATTAACAATCAAGAGTGTATGAAATTTCAAGAGGCTACAGAGGCAGAGTATATAGAGAGAGAGAATTGGGACTATGCATCAAAAATGGAGAAAAATTTGGCCCACCAACAAGTGCAATTTAAAAAAGAAAAAGAAAAAAAGGAAGTGGTGATCTTGGAAGAAAGTGGAGAAAAGAGGGGGTGAAGGAAAGACGAAATTCTAAAGGTAGATGATGGATTCAAAGAGAAAGTGAGATAGTAATGGAGTTGCAGAACTGACAATCACAACATGGAGCATGAAGCATAAGAGGAAACTGAAAGGAAAAGTGGTAATCATATCGAATGATAGTGGAGCCTCACATAGAGCTTTGCATCCACCACATTAAGAAGAAATTAATTACTGCTAGCACAAGGTGCAGGTCAAAACACCGTGGCATTGAGGAAAGGAAATAAAGGGAAGCCAGCTATGCATGTGCCTTACTTTTGTTAAAAAAGAAATTTAATACAAGGCCACAGTAAACAACCCCGCAAAAGAACAATATCAATACACATCAGTAATCGAAATATCCTTGCAGCCTAGAGGAAGAGAACATGGGCCTCACTAGTTACTCCACGTATGCAAAACATGCAAGAAACTGAAGACGGGGTGGGGGGGGTATTTTTTTGGGTGGGGACGACTCAAATCCTGGGCAGAAGTGAGGGTAAATTGGAGGCAACTTGACTATGGATAAAAAAGAAGGAAAGATGGTGCATTTGAAGAGTGCTCTTGCACTTTATTGTCTAGTATAAATTAAAATTTAACAGTGAGAGGGGTTCAAAGCTTCTAAATAGAATTTTAGAAGGCAGTTCAGTAAAGAACAAGGAATAATGTTGATCACCATAGGAGGGGAGTCTATTTTGAAGTAGGCGAATATGCGTATCTCAAATTAAAACCTTAGAGGTTGATGTTCTTAGTTAAAAAGCTCAATGACAAATGAAGCGATGTATTATTATAATTTTTTAAAAATATTAGGGGAGGTAACGGCCACTAGCCATTAAAGAGGATATTTAATTAGCGATTAGTTTCTGTAGTTAGGCCTATAAATATAGACATGACAGGGTACCCAATTGTACAGATTTGATTTCCAGGAATATAAAGTGCACTATTCAGATGCGACCTTGCCTTCTCCCTGTTTTCTCTCTCGCTCACCTCTTCTCTAGCTCTCTTCTTCTAATCTCTATCTTTGTCTATCTTTCTTCTTCCCTGGACCCTCTTCTACCTTTCTCTTTTCTATTTCAATCCTATCATGAAGCCTCAAGTGCTATTGCATAGAAGGGATGTCTACAAGCATGTCTTCAGAAAACTTTTACATGTGCAAAGGGTTTCATATACCATATCTAAAGTGGAGGATTTAAAACATAATATGGCCACCTCGTTGAATTTCACAATAATTTACTACCTACTCTTAAAATTATTTATCATTTATTTATTTTAATATATATGATATATGATGGGCCAAAACATTTTGAATCTGCTCATGAGTTCAGGTCAACTGGAGGCCCAATTTCACATTAATTATCTAAAAGCAACAAACTCAAACTGAAACTAAACTTTCACTAACGCACTTTCCCTATATGCTCTTCAGTTCCTTGCCTTGATAATGATCAAATAAAGAATATAAAAAGGCAACAAGCATGGGCAACACAACGAAAAAAGCTAGGAAGCAAATAACTAGCTGAATGGCTTATTACCAAGGGTAGCTTGCCTTGATTGTAACATATATAAGCACAGGAAGAAATTCATCTGCTCCAGCTGGCACGTGATTTTCAGTCATTGATGCATTGAGCAGAAGATTGTTGATGACCCTACAACAATTCATTATACTTGACAGCTTTTCACGAGGAGCTTTAAAAGTGTTGATTTTCTGCAATTCTTTCTCTGCAAGCTGAACATAAAGGGAAAAAACAGATAATTAATTTCTCAAGAAAACCGGGCTCACTTTCTGTTAAAAAATCCAAGTTGAAAAAAAAAAAAGAAAAAAAAGAACTAAGGGCCTTACATTAAAAATGGAATACTAAGAAATTGGAAAAGGTCCGTTCACCTTTAAATGCAAGAGGGTCTTGTACCACCCCATCAACTCTAAAGCAAGTAATTAAATTGGCAATTCAATCTCTGCTCTAAATATCGTGCTTAAATAGTTTTAGATTTCAATATTTTTAGAATTGATCTATGCCAACAGGCAAAAACAAAAAAACAAAAAACAAAACAAAAAACAAAAAGAGGTCCTTGCAATTCCACCAATTCTACCAAATCTCAGTGATTCGAACATGTTGGGCACTCAACTATTGACAAACTTCCTAAACAGAAATGATTTTGTTTTGTGCAATTGCTATTGCACTAATCCAGATATTTGTCCTTACCGTGTCAAAATAGCAGTCACTTTCTGTTTAAAAAAATTTCAGCCTTGTTGGAAGAGCACTGCCAACTCAAAAAGTTATGGAAAGTGTACTCATTAGGTTGGTAGTCTCGAGAGTTGGCATTAAATTATGTCTCAATACTTACTCCTTTTGCTTTCTCGATCCTAATCAATTGTCATTTTCTTATCCATAGGAGGCCCTAGCTTAGCCATAAGAAAAATTTCAGCTTGTCTAATGCTGTCCAAGTGATCCAGCAAGGAAAAGGCAAAAGATCAGTCACATTTCCCAAATGAAATTGTCAAGCTTTTATGCACCAATTTTTTAATAGTAAACCCACTCTTTGCATATTCTAAATCCTTAGCTTCAGAACCTTATATCAAACCATATCCCATTCCAAGAACTAGAAGCTCCCAAAATTGTTGTCTTGCCCACCTTCAATAATAAGGAATTTCTTAAAACAAGTTATTAAGCCATACCATGAGCTTGGTATTTATATGGGAACAGAAGATACAGCAAAAAGTTAGAAGATAAAACAATCTTCAGTGATGACATTAGGAAGTTGAAATATGAGAGCAATAAAAATGTTGTACAATAGAAGTATTAAAAAAATCGTTTGGCAGGATTAAAACACATGTGCACTGACAAAATAGCAAAGTTTTAAAGAATGACATACTTCCTAAATTAAGCCATACCAGCCATGAAGCTTCATTACGAAGAATTGCTGGTATGTCCAAATGTTCAGGCTTCAGAAAGGTTTGGACCAGGCATATTTTCTCTGAGATTTCATGGTCAATCTTAGTATCCTCGGGAGAAACAGCAAATGTTCGGGAAAACAGCTTGGTCATTACATATTTCTCTAAAGCCTGCAGATAGCATAAAAAAACAAGATTAATATGAGATTATTACATCCCTCATTATTAATGAAGTACAGATTGTACCATCTGAAGTTAAAACATCATGAAGACAACTATTTTCAACTTATCAAGTATTGATTACGACAGCTTCACTTCAAGCAGCTACATAAATCATAATCTTGAATCTAACTAGGTTCCACAATGAATATCAACATTTAGCAATGAACATTATTCTTCTTGCTCTAGTTTCATATGTCAACATGTGTTCCATTAGGAATGGAGTTCCATGAGTAGAAAAACACAGAATATCAACAGTGACCTGGAGAGGGAAAATGCTTATGTAATTATTCTAACTCTTTTTCCTCCACTTAAATTATAAAGATGAAGCTTTATTTAGATATTATACAAGCACATAAAACTAGATCAGGTGAGTACCTCCATTGCACAATCGATCTCTTCCTCAGTGGCACCTGTCCATAATGGATGTTCCCTAATAGCAGCTTCCATTGTCAAGTAAAACTCTTGCACTCTTTTCCCATCATTTTCAGGGTTGGGTGGGTAAAATGAAAATGACACAATAAAACTGGGGGAACCAATTAAGGAGTTACAAAATGCAACTAAAAGAGCACAAAAAGTTTGACAAATGGAAATAAATGCATGACAGTATACATGTATATTATAGAGAACGCACAAATTCAATCAATAATTCAAAAATGAGTCAGGGTAAAGGAAAAAGTCAGTGGTCAGAACCATATCAGATTGTCTGTCATGCTGAACTTCTATCAGATGTTTAGGTATTAACATTCAAATTCAAAATTTAGGTGACATCAAGGTAGGTGAGTGGTGGAAATCCCAAGTCCTCGAGAAACTTAGCCTGTTTGTAAATTATTTTGGGCATGGAATACATGGAAAATTCAATAATTCTGTGTTTGGTACACAACATTATATTCAAGGTATAAAACTGAATGCAATGATCTTGAATTATCTACGCATCTCGCATCAATGTATTTTACGGTACGATTATTTGGGAAACAAACGCACACAAACTAATTGCAATCTCATATCAATGGATTTTATATGCTGCCAAACTAAACGATCACATGAACATATAACTCAATTACATCTTCCAAATGCGTTCAAGTTGCCAATAATCTGTCTATTTATTCAAGTTATAACCGGAATTGTTTGGCTATATCTTAGCGCATCACCCACGAAACTATTCATAAACAGTGGGGAAATAGAGTGCAGCACCCATTCGCAAAAAAGAAAACCACAAAATTCGAAAAGGCAATACCATAGGTATATGATCGAGCCAGAAAGATGAAAATAAAGGGTCGTTCACCTCTTGATGGATCGGACAAGGCCAATGGAAGCAGGATTTCGCATGCGATCGAGAAAATCAAAGAACGAGAGCGATTGCGAAGATGTTGATGCGTCCATGGAATCAATTGTTGGACCCAGTTGAATTGAAGAACGAGCAGCATATTAGAGTCAGATCAATGCACAGAGCCCTAGGCAATACGAAGAACATTAGGTATGGCGCACCCACCAGTCCAACGCTTTAATTTATCCACAAACTGGTAGTTCGGTCCGGAGGCCGTGGGTACGGGGGTCTAGCTTTGCATTGCGGGAAAAAAACAGAAAAATGACATATTAATTTAGTAACACCCAAAATATCTGTTCAATTTAAGAAATCTTATTTTGGTTTTAAGAGACAAATTAGAATTATCATATTAAATAAAAAGACCAAATTACCTTTCATTTTATTTATTGTTTTCAAAATACTAAAGCTCCCACTGGCTGGCCAGTTGTCGGAGCTCCGGCGGCGGCAGTCGCTGAAGCTCCGGTGACCAGCCAACAATTAATCAACGGAACTCTATTGGCCGAAAACAATTTTTCTGAAAATTTTTACAACTTTAGTATAACAGTTAACGACTTTTGTGATGCTGTTAACAACTTCAGTATAGTAGTTAACAACAGGTTTTCTGGGAAATTCAACAAGCTCCGACGGTCGAAAATAATTTTTTTGAAAATTTTTACAATTTTAATATGACAGTTAACAACTTTTGTGACACTATTAACAACTTTAGTATAGCAATTAACAATAGGTTTTATGGGAAATTCAACAAGTTCCGGCGACCAGAAACAATTTTTTTAAAAATTTTCACAACTTCAATATAACAGTTAACAATTTTTGTGGCGCTATTAACAATTTCAATATAGCAGTTAATAACAGATTTTTCAAAAAAATTCAACAATTGGTCTCCGGAGCTCTGGCGGCTGGAAACAATTTTTTTTGAAAATTTTTACAATGTCAGTATAACGGTTAACAACTTTTGTAACATTATTAATAACAGGTTTTCTGAGAAATTCAAAAAGTAACATTTTTACAACTTCAATAATACTGCTAACAAGTTTAGTAACTCTATTAACAACTTCGGTATAGCATTTAACATGTTTTCTTAAAAAATTAAAAAAAAAAGGCATTTTTACAACTCTAGCAACTACTTTTTTTTTTGGAAAATTTTTTACAATTTCAATATAACAGTTAACAACTTTCGTAATGTTATTAACAACTTTAGTATAGCAGTTAACAACTAATTTTCTAAAAAAATTCAAAAAGTAGCATTTTTACAATTTCAGTAATGTCGTTACCAAGTTCCATAACTCTATTAACAACTTTGGTATAACATTTAACAATAGGTTTTCTTAAAAATTAAAAAAAAAGCATTTTTATAACTTTAACAACTACTTTTTTTTGAAAATTTTTGCAATTTCAGTATAACAGTTAACAATTTTTGTAACTCTGTTAACAACTTTGATATAACAGTTAATAACAGGTTTTTTAACAAATTCAAAAGGTAACATTTTTACAACTTCAGTAATACCATTAACAAGCTCAAAAACCTATTGTTAACCGTTATACTGAAATTGTTAATAGTATTACAAAAGTTGTTAACTGTTATAGTGAAATTGTAAAAATTTTCAAAACAATTGTTTTTTACCGCCGGAGCTTCGGTGACTAATTGTTGAATTTCTTGAAAAACCTGTTATTAACTGATATACTGAAATTGTTAATAGTGTTACAAAAGTTGTTAACTGTTATACTGAAGTTGTAAAAATTTTCAAAAAAATTGTTTTCCGCCGCTAGAGCTTGTTGAATTTTTTAGAAAACTTATTGTTAACTACTATATTGAAGTAGTTAATAGCGTTACAAAAGTTGTTAATCATTATTCTAAAGTTGTAAAAATTTTCAAAAAAATTGTTTCCGATCGCCGAAGCTCCAGTGATCAATTGTCAGCTGATCGTCGGAGCTCCAGTGACTGCCGCTGCCGGAGCTCTGGTGACCGGCCGACCAGTAGGGGCCTTGGTATTTTAAAAATAATAAATAAAATGAAAAAAAAATTAGTCTTTTTATTTAACATGATAATCTCAATTTGGTCTCTTGAGACCAAAATGGGATTTATTAAATTGAGCAGATGTTTGGGCATTATGAAGTTAATATACCATTTTTCTGTCTTTTTTCCCTTGCATTTTTGTAGAAGTTATATAAATTAAATTTAATTCATGTGTATACAGTATAACTGTCTATACTTGCTGTTTTTACGGGATTCTTGGCTAGCACCTCCTCCAGTTCTCATTACAAGTCACAAGACGACAACTAATAAGTACTTCTAGTCTTTTTTACAAGCCATTTGCTTAGTTTCAAATAGCATTAAATATTTTTTCTATATATGTCTGTAATAATAAGGGCAGTGAGATAATAAAAATTAATATAATATCAGAATTTAGTATGTCACTGTGTTTTTATTCTTAAGTCATCTATAGTTATAAAAAAAACAAAGGTTTGTTCCTGCATATAAATTATTATAGGGTAATTAATGAACTTTTTTCAACTTTACCCTTGTTGACTTAACAAACATCGAGAAAGATAAAATATGTAGGTGAAAGAAACTATAAAATATATTTTTAATACATTTTCTTTAAAGATCATTAATTTAATATGTTTTTGGTTTGCAGGCTTAGTATACAAATGACTTATAAATGATAACAATGTGATAGTCAATAAGGGTAATATTAAAATTCACTTGAATTTTATTACAAATTTAGTGTTTTCAATTGTTTTTATTGGTATGTGAGAATTAGTTAAAAATAACTTATAACATAGACCAAATGGGGTAGTATTTATCTAACATTAAATAATTATATGTTGTTAATATTAATATTAACACTCTCCTAAATGTGGAGATGAGTTAGAGAGTTAATTTTAATATTAAATGTAAGACTATAATTCACTTTATTTTTTATATTTTTTATTTTTTTAAATTAATTTATTTAACTTATAAACTAATATATAATATAATATCATGTTACATTTGCTAGAATTAATAATCTATTTAGTTTTTTAATCCATCTAAACTAGTAAAGTAACTCTAATGTCAATGATAAGAGGAATATTAACTTTTGAAATAGTTTATAAAAATATTTAAAATGTTAAAAAGTCACAGGTAAGGATGGAAATAGGTTAGGCAGCCTATGGCCTGCCTGACTTATTTAGATATCAGAACAGGTTCAAGTCTGTAAAAAGGCCTGTTTACTTTATCAAGTTAGGCTCAGACTTGATAATAAGCTTATTAAACTTATCAGACAGCCTGGGCTTGATATCTTTTTTTTTTTTAGGTTAAAATTGTAAATGGATAGAAAGGAATCTGCTATTTTGCTTGGCTAATTAAGAAAACTCTACCAACATAAACGTGTTATCCAAAGCTCAATGCATGCTTTATTTCATTTCCATTCTCTATAATAAAAATAATTGATGTATGTATAATGACACATATTTGATCAGAGAAAGAAAACATAAATGTATTAAAAAAAAAGCATCATTCATTTATTTGATCCATACTTTCCTTATTAATCTTATATAAAATATATATATATATATAAAGAATTGACCTATTATGTTTTAGACTGTATATATGTGTGTTCAATTTAATTCTTATTATAATAGTTACTTAATTAATTTAAATAAATAAATAAATTATAATAAATGTAACATATTTTTTAAAAACAATCATGTGTAACAATAGGATCAAATATTATTTTGTTAGTAAATTAGTTTGAACAAATGATAAATTTAAAATATAAAAAGGATTAAGGATGTTTCATATTTTAAACTAAATCTAGTCATTAACTAATTTTTATTCTAGAAATGGGATGAAGTGATATTTTTTTACCAGAGTGAAATTATATTTTCTAATATTTTTTATATTTGATTTTTTTGGGTTTAAGGGGACATGTTTTACAAATTGTGTTCATTTGATAATTTTATATTTTTTGTTTGTATTTTAGATAAATTGGGCTGAATTATTGTAATTTTGAATTGATTTATGTGTGTTTGAAATTTGTTAAAAAAACAGGCCACAAGTCAGGCCAGGCATGATTACAGGCTCGGCTTAAGCCGAACAAAAACTTTTCACAGGCCGCTGGCTAGGTTCAGGCGAACAGGCCTCACCACAGGCTGGGCTTGTTAAGCGTGAAGCTTGGCTGGGCCTGTTTCCACCTTTATTCACAAGTATGAAATGTTATATAATCATGCTTTCCTTTAAAATTTTTCATATTAAATTTTGCCATGTATTGTCTGTTTTTACCTTTTCATTTTATTTCTTAATCAATGGCATTGCAGTGAATGGGAATGGGAAGGTTGAGTTTTGATGGTTCACATCACCATATCAACATAATAAATAATACTATGGTTCTTAATATAAAATCTATTTAACTTATTTGACTAAATTAAAAAATTTAGATAAGTTAGTTAATTATAAAAAATATGATATATTTTTTCTAAAATACTATAATTATTTTTCTTAATATCATTCTTTTCTTACTAACTTGATTATAATTGAGGGAATATCTATAAAAATAATATAAAAAAATTAATAAGTATAAAAAAATAAATCTTATATTTAAAATTAAAATTAACTGAATAATTAAATACTATATTAATGATAGAAGGAGTAAATAAAAATCAATTATGAGCTGAGTTACATTTTTTTGGTCAACGGCTTCACACTCAAATTACTGTACTATGAACAATGATAACTAATTGAAAAGTGTTAGCACAATCTTTGGGCTGCGTGATTTTTTTTTTTTTTTTGAGTAACAAGTAGAGTAAGTAGGTCCTTTCATCTGTCATACTTTTCAACTTCCATCAGTGAGAGTGGGTCATTTATTTTCAACGTCCCATACTTATTTTAATTTTTTTTTCTGTTTAAATTCAAAATTCAAACTTGATTTTCTTCTTTCTCCCTCACTTTATTCTTTGCTTTACCAAACACGGTGAGGATCGGGAAATTTTATGGAAGCTTCATGGGGTCGTTAGAGAAGTTTTGAAGGGTTGGGTGTGTGGTGAAATTAGACTGGAGAAGAAGAAAAGAACCAGAAAACGAGGAAGAAGGGAGAGGCCGACGGCGTAGTGATGACCGAAGAAGATGGAATGCGCCGATGGTGATTGATCGAAGGAGTGGAGTCAGAGGTT